AGCCCTCGGAGCATTTTAGTAGCCCTCCTCTGGCCCCGTTCCAACAGGTCCATGTCCTCCTTGTGCTGAGGGCTCCAGAGCTGGATGCAGGGCTCCAGGTGAGGTCTCCCCAGAGCAGAGCAGAGGGGCACAATCCCCTCCCTCACCCCGCTGGCCACGCTGCCAGGGATGCAGCCCAGGGTAGGGTTGGCCTTCTGGGCTGCCAGCGCCCATGGCCAGCTCATGGCCAGCTTTTCATCCATCAGTACCCCCAAAATCAGTCCAAGCAAACTGTGGAAGGTGCTCACCTTGGCTCCTTTTCCATTGTGGTTCCTTGAATACGGGTAAAAGGCACCCAACTCCATCCATCGAGCACACAGCTCATACTCCGAGTCTCCGAAGAAGCCACAGATATCTGCTCCGGTCTGAAAATTAAAAAAAAATAATAATAATAACACCACGACGGCGATGCTGTACATTCCTTTAATAAAGATAACTGAAATAGAAGGCAATAAATCAGGAGCTTACATAGGATATTCCAAAGAGACTGAACTCCATCATGCCTGCAAGAAAAAAAAAATAATAATTCAATAATAAATGCACTTTTTAATCTGGTTTTGAGAGGGTTGCATAGATTGGGATGAGAAAAAGAAAAGAATTCCCTGAATTCCCCCAGGAGAGCTGGTTCTTAGGAAGCAAAGCAGCAGATTTCAGTCAGGAGGGAGACAACGATAGGAAGGTGGTGGGATGTGAATGTGAGGGCATTGTGGTGCTCAAACCCATGCAATAAAACCCAGTTCCTGTAGAAACTGTGAAGATTTTCTTCAGATGCAATAAGAAGAAAAAATATTCAAGGAAAAATTGGCCGTAAATTCTGATTGGTCAACTGCGTAGCCGATTTTGGCACAAAAACCGCGGTTTTTAGGAAGGAAACCCAGAAGAAACATGGATAAATCGGTTAGAGGTGGTGTTGACGTACCGATGATGGATTTATCAAGCTGATTCCAGGCCGCCGTGTTGTCCCCCAGCCAATGTCCTGACCACTTCCCACTGCTGGGGTAGGTTGAACGGGTGACAACAATTCCTCGCTCCTTCGTGATGTTCCGCAAGGCACTGGAATTGCACGGGGGAGAAGAAACCCAACAGGATGAGAACTCTGATAATCAGAGAAGGGCTTCTGGGGGACGCCGAGATAGAACCGGTGGGTTACGTTTCTGTAGGAAAGCGCCGCCGTCCTGTCCTTGCCAGCGTAAGCAGCCGTAAAGCCACTCAAGATATGGTTTTTTAATTTGCATTCATAGGATATTTTGGTGGGAAGGGACCCCTAGAGGTCACCCAGTCCAACCCCCCGCAGTGAGCAGGGACACCGTTAATCAGCTCAGGCTGCTGATGTTCACTACGACCAACGCATCTGCAGAAACTAAGAATTAGAATCAGCGAATCACATAGGATCACAGAATTTTGGGGGGCGGTTTTGGGGAGGGGAAATTATTCTGAATTTAATTTGGAAATCTGCTGAATTGAAGAACTGAAGCAATTCCGACGGGAAGAAAGATTATGAGGGAAAAAGAAATGATTTCTCATAAATGAAGTGGAAATTTTTGTCTTGAGAATATGGGCACCAAATATTAATTTGGGAAATTTGGAAATTCACTTAATTGAAGAACTGTAGCCATTATGACGAGAAGAAAAATTATGAGGGGAAAAAAAAATTAATTCTGGTAAATGAAGTGGAATTTTTTGTTGTGAGAATATGGGCACCAAATATTAATTTGCAAAATTTGGAAAGGACCAAAAATAAAAAGAAAGAACGCGACTTACTCGAGGGTTGGTTTTGTTTGCGACCACCCGTAAAGGTTGTGGACATCATAGTGACTGATGGGGGAACCGTCTGGGAGATACTGCTGAGCTTCCATGCAGAGAGTTTTGAAAATCAACCCCTCGGCTCTAGATCCCAAATCTATTGGAAAAAGAAGGAAGACGCTCATATGTCAACATCCTGCAAGAATTTTAACAAGTCACCTTTTATTCCACATGCGTTGTCCTGATTGGCCTTCGCTTCCCTTTACCTCTTGACGTGGTCATTTATAATTTTATTTATTTACGTGGTCCTAAGATTATTTCACAGAAAACACATTTTTCGGGTGGTTTTCTTCAGGTTGGATTACAGAAATTTAGGAAATCCTGAAATTCTATTTCAGAAATTTAGGAATTTAGGACTTCAGAAACTTAGGAAAATCAAAAAAGCAGCAGAAATAATCTAATAAAAAAATAGAGGATCGTTACTAATTCGGACTCAAGTAAAGTCCCTCTAAGGGCAGCGAGGATTTCAAGGCCATTCCTCAAATTAGGCCTCATAATTTCACATATACATAATGATTAATTGGTGAAAAGATGGGTATTTTTGAATGTTTTAGTCATTAATTGCATTTTTCATCTGGGAAAACAATGCAGAACCACGAAAGCCATATCCTTGACCACGTCCAAAGCAAATTCCCTGGATACAAAGTAGATACCAAAATCTACCCAAAAAAACCCTCTACATTTTCAGAAGTTCTCACCAACACAGACCACACTTACAAGCATCAATCTCCTCCAAAAATTGGCTTTCTGTTATGGATTTGATTACAGGTTTGGCTCCCAAATTTTAGGCATTTATCATAGAATCATGGAATTGTTTGTGTTGGAAAAGGCCTTATAAGCTCACCAAGCCCAACCGTTGACCCAACCCTGCCATCCCACCACCAAACCCCGGCCCCAAGGGCCACGGCCCCACGGGTTTTGAACCCCCCCGGGGGGGGGACTTGACTCCTGCCCTGGGAAGCCCCTTCCAGCCCCTGACAGCCCCAAGGGGAAGGAATTGTTCCCCATGCCCAACCTCACCCTGCCCTGGCCCAACTGGAGGCCAGTGCCCCTCATCCCATCACCCCTTCCCTGGGAGCAGAGCCCGACCCCCCCGGCTCCCCCCTCCTCTCAGGCAGTTGTAGGGAGAGATGAGGGCTCCCCTCAGCCCCCTCTGCTCCAGGCTGAACCCCCCCAGCTCCCCCAGCCGCCCCCCAGCAGCCTGGGGCTCCCGACC